TCTGACTTTTCTACATCCAACTCACAGGTTTATCATTACTTTGAGAACAAAGATTATTAATGTACCCCTTTTTAGAAGTGAAGATATGGTCATTTATTCTGGGCATGTCATTTTCGAGCCTGAGGCCTGAAAAACAGGCTCAGGGCTTAAAGGTGGGGTAGGTAAGTTTGAGAAACCGGCTCGAGATACACTTTTTGTTATATTCCATGGAATGCTCTTAACATCCCGATAGCAATGAATATCTTAAGTGCTTTGACAAAAAATCCATAAAAAAACGTCGTCTGTGGAAGCCGTAGTACTGTAAAAAGCACGGCCCGGCTAAAATGATTGGATGGCCTACCTGCCTGTCAGCCTTCCATCTGTGCACAAACTTATCTCGTGCCCTCATTGGTCATGTGCGCGTTCGTGTGTGTTGGAGGAGGGGCTCTGTAAGGAAGTGGCAGATTTTTTCCGGCTGTGTATTTTCAAATTCTAGCGCACTCGAGCTGGTTTCTCCGAAATTACCTACCCTACCTTTAACTGGTTAATTTGACCATGAGTAAATGTTCTCATTATCTCATATTGATGATTGATATTTTCAGCACTAAACACATTGTAAAATACTCCCTTGTCCTAATATCTCCACAGATGAACTTTATTCTATTCATCTGCATCATACGAATACTTCGCCAGAAAATCAACTGTCCTGATATTGGAAGAAACGAGTCCAACCAGTACTCGTGAGTATCATTTATCATCTTTTTAAATGCTGGTAATGTGTATTATTCATTAGCTCGGATAAAAGGAAATTTTCCTAACCCCTAGGAGAGTTTTGTGGAAAATCTACCCACAGGTTTCAGAGGTCAGTTTGGAAAGTTAGCAGCATTTAATCCTTTAATAAAAAAACTTGTTTACGCCCAGAGCAATGCAGGGATGACCAATCCTTTTTGACATCAGAAAGGAAATTCACCGCCAGCCTTAGCATGCGGTATTCAGCATGATATCCCCCCCCCCCCCTGCAGCTGCTTTGCACAGAGATATAGAGCCGTGTGTTTAAATGTTTTATCCTGTGATGGAGAGCATGTCAAAAGCCGGCCATAATGCATGAGCTATTTTCCCACTGAGACTTTTAATGGTGTTTTTCCCCAGCTCAGGTCCTCAGAGCTGAATGTACAATGAAAAGTACTCGGGAGTTGAATTTCATTATTGGCATATTGGGATTGGAAATTGGCTCCACCAGAGGGAGAAATGTATAATTTGTTGCTTTGTCATTTCAGGAGGCTGGCGAAATCTACGCTGCTCCTGATTCCTCTGTTTGGGATCAACTTCATCGTGTTTGCATTCATCCCTGAGCAAGTGAAGACCGAGTTGAGGCTGGTTTTCGACTTGATTCTGGGGTCATTTCAGGTATATCGACTATTTTAGGAAGAATAAATGATAAAAAAAAATCTCATTATATATTGAGACATTTGTATTTGAAGCTTTCTTGAAGGTCATCCAACAGTGAAACACATTTGTCTTGAATTTCTAAAAGTAAAGTAATGAATTGGCTCGCTGGCAACCGAGACCTGCAAATGTTTTGATTAAAAAAAAAAACAAAAAAAAAACGTGGCAGGTCTCCAGGCTTCAGTGGCTGCGTTACCGTATTACACCCCCGATGTTATTTCAGTTCATCACTTAATGAGGAATGATGGAGAAGCAGCCAGACAGCTCCGAAACCAAGGACACATTTCCAGAACTTCCTCCCATCCCTCTAACTCATTAAACAAACCACTCTTCAATATGCATTTGTGTCTATTTATAGGACTAATACAGGCTGCAAGTAGGAAATAGATAGATAGATAGATAGATAGATAGATAGATAGATAGATAGATAGATAGATAGATAGATATATAGGTAGATAGATAGATAGATAGGTAGATAGATAGATAGATAGGTAGGTAGGTAGGTAGGTAGGTAGATAGATAGATAGGTAGATAGATAGGTAGGTAGGTAGATAGATAGATAGATAGATAGATAGATAGATAGATAGATAGATAGGTAGATAGGTAGATAGACGGATAGATAGGTAGATAGATAGATAGATAGATAGATAGATAGATAGATAGATAGGTAGATAGGTAGATAGACGGATAGATAGGTAGATAGATAGATAGATAGATAGATAGATAGATAGATAGATAGGTAGATAGGTAGATAGACGGATAGATAGGTAGATAGATAGATAGATAGATAGATAGATAGATAGATAGATAGGTAGATAGATAGATAGATAGATAGGTAGGTAGATAGATAGATAGGTAGATAGATAGGTAGGTAGATAGATAGATAGATAGATAGGTAGATAGGTAGATAGACGGATAGATAGATAGATAGATAGATAGATAGATAGATAGATAGATAGATAGATAGGTAGATAGATAGATAGATAGATAGATAGACGGATAGACAGGTAGATAGACATACAGACAGACAGACAGACAGACAGACAGATACCGCATTGCCAAAGCTTTGTACAATTACGACATCTATACATAAACATGCAAGCAAGTATACCATGTTTTTCTGCACAAGGAAAAGGCACTCTCTTATCTGTGTGTTTCTGTCCATCTAGGGCTTTGTGGTGGCTGTTCTTTACTGCTTCCTGAACGGAGAGGTCAGTACCCCCCCCCCCCTTGAAGCGATGTAAACACTGTTTTTATAAACACACTTCCATGCAGAGATAGCCCACAGTGTTGATTCTCAGAAAAGGTAGTTCATCTTTGGCTCTATCTGCAGCTCAGCATTCACACACAGCCTGAGAGAGTCTGAGTCACCGGACCGCTCGCAGCATATTTTCTGCACTCTGCAGGGTAGAAGGCACAGCGTTTTTGTTGGCAGGGAGCGACTCTGCGATGTCCTCTGAGTTAGTTATGTCCCCACGGCGGGGCCAGATTGGAAGGCTTGACTCTATGCCGTCTGAATTTTAATTTTTCAATTCACAGGTGTCCTTTGTTAACTGTGAAGCCTTGGCGATGTGCAAATTACTGCAGCATTCTGCGTTGTATACAGTTGTGGTGTTATTGCTCCTTAGTTGTACCGTATTGAGTCACAACAAGAAATGTGCGTTCGATAAAGACGGAAATTACAGTCGTTTTTTCTAGCAAGAACATTAAAATAAGACTGTGGAAAAATCACATAAAGCCCAAGAAGCGTATATATTCGTCAAAGGTACACTCAGTTTCTCTTCTATTAGGTACACCTGACCCCATTGCCCCCCGTGTGTTTGTGAGAGATATCTTGAAAGCGCAGTAATTGTCATTTAGACCCAAAGTTTCTGTCCTTACTAGCAAATAAAGGGAAGACGTTTTGGGACATATACCCTGACATGAGCACGGATCTTGTGAATGCTATTTCGTTATTACCTGAAAACTGCCAAGTCATGGACAACTACTTCGCTGGTTATCAGGTGTGAGCAGGCAGCAGTTACCTAAAGAGTCTCTGAACATCTTGAAGGGCCGGCTGCAGAAAGCGTCCGGTGCTTAAGAGTCTGTAATCCATTTTACACCGCTGCCAATTTAAATCCCTGGAGACTGGGAGCAAAGACCGCAAGCTCCATATGGGAAGTGAGCAAACTGCCGACTGTCCGCACTAAGGCTAGACAAGCTGTTGAGTGCAGATCAACTTAAAGGAGGAATAGAAGTGGTTGACGTAAACTGCACGCTTATGAATTTGCTTCATCTTCATGAGAGTAGGATGCAAACTCAAGCCACAAAAGACAGGTTTTCCCTCAGCGATGGTTAAGAGCAGTCGGCTTCAGCTGCATGTCTGCCACTTTAGAGAATACTCCTGCAAAATGACAGCCTTAGAAAAGCTTCCATGTCCTTTGAGCTTGAAGCTTGAGTTTTGATGCGAGTAGCAGAGACCGATTGTTCTTGTGTGTGTTGATCGCAAAGACATCTACAGTATATCAAAAAGACTATTCCAATCCTGCAAAACACTAAGGCCAAAGAGGATGTCAACAGGGCAGAATAGAAAAGATTAAAAAAAACTTGACTCAACGTACGTGCCGCAAAATGGAATGAGAAATGTATTTAGTTTTAGCATCCTTAGCCAGGGCTTCCTCTACAAAGGGCAATGGGATTTCCCTGTTGGATTTATGTAAATTGCAGGACATAAGCTTTGTTGAGCCGGCCAGCTAACCAATCAGAGCAGACTGGGCTCTGGTTTCAGTCAGAGGGTGAAAAGAGGTGCTGCAGTACAGGCAGTTTGAGAAAAATAAAAAGCTTTTTGAACATTAAAGCATGGAGACATGTCCCAGTAGAGACACTACATACTGATATACACCTGAACATCAGCAGGAGAGGACTCTTTAAAGTAGAGACACTACATACTGATATACACCTGAACATCAGCAGGAGAGGACTCTTTAAAGTAGAGACACTACATACTGATATACACCTGAACATCAGCAGGAGAGGACTCTTTAAAGTAGAGACACTACATACTGATATACACTTGAACATCAGCAGGAGAGGACTCTTTAAAGTAGAGACACTACATACTGATATACACCTGAACATCAGCAGGAGAGGACTCTTTAAAGTAGAGACACTACATACTGATATACACCTGAACATCAGCAGGAGAGGACTCTTTAAAGTAGAGACACTACATACTGATATACACCTGAACATCAGCAGGAGGACTCTTTAAAGTAGAGACACTACATACTGATATACACCTGAACATCAGCAGGAGAGGACTCTTTAAAGTAGAGACACTACATACTGATATACACCTGAACATCAGCAGGAGAGGACTCTTTAAAGTAGAGACACTACATACTGATATACACCTGAACATCAGCAGGAGAGGACTCTTTAAAGTAGAGACACTACATACTGATATACACCTGAACATCAGCAGGAGAGGACTCTTTAAAGTAGAGACACTACATACTGATATACACCTGAACATCAGCAGGAGAGGACTCTTTAAAGTAGAGACACTACATACTGATATACACCTGAACATGAGCAGGAGAGGACTCTTTAAAGTAGAGACACTACATACTGATATACACCTGAACATCAGCAGGAGAGGACTCTTTAAAGTAGAGACACTACATACTGATATCAACCTGACAATGAGCAGAATATGTCCCCTTTAAAGTAATATTGTTCATATCCACTGTAGGTGCAAGCTGAGATCAAGAGGAAGTGGCGGAGGTGGCACCTGCAGAGATACATGGGCTCCGACACCAAATACCAACATCCGTCCATCGGCAGCAGCAACAACTTCAGCACCCAGATCACCATGATGACCCGCTGCAGCCCCAAAACACGGAGGACTTCTTCCTCCTGCAACGACGACCTGTCTTGCATATGACTCGCACAAAAAGTGAGAGAGACATTCATGCTGTACAACAAACTCTCGTGCCAAATATAGGACAGAAAAGGACGCAACCAAACACCCTAGTTAGCACATCTGCTAACGTGTTGCTTGAGTGTGACTTGGACAAAGTAAAGTGATAAGAAAACAGTGAGACAGCTTTTAATCTCCATGCTTCTTAAAAAAAAAGTGACACTTGGATGAGAACCATTCACGATTCATTGCACATGTACTGTACAGGGGAGTTAGTGAGTCATATCATTATGGATCATGGGTCAATCATTATCAAGTTCCCTGTGTGATGTGTCACATTTTAACGGGGTTAGGTTAGGGAATCCTAATGTGAACTGCACCAGCAGCCCTGCAATCTGATGTAATTAACACTGATTAAAAATCACTTAGCGGATTCCTGCGGCTCCAAATGAACAAGGCTGGAGCGAAGACACAGACGTTCAAAGAAAAGGAGCGAAGGTATTTCTTTCAACAGCAAATCTAATTATTTCTATTGTGGAGTGACATCAAAGGCAAAGAATAGCACCAGAAATGCATTATGAAGATGTGTTTGAATGTGAAAGGACTTGGATAAATAAATGCTGAACTGACTTCAGACCAGTGTGCTGCTGATTCCCAGCGATGGGTCTGGAGTATAAATGCCCTTCTCTGCACTATCACTCTCATGAGAGACTGATTTCCTTTCCATCAGTACAGCCCACCCTCTTATTTTGTGTGATTCTGATTCTGCCGATCGCTGACGAGTGCCTGGTTTCATTGTTTCTGAAGTGACACTTTCAATCCAATCTTCACCGGCTGTGAGCTGCTCCTGAGAGGAAACGCCTTGAAGCAAATAATCCTTTCAATGTTTACAGTTATAAATAGCATTGTACACACACATCTACAGTGTAAAGAATAACTCCACATCGTCGTGCCACACCGTTTGCATTGTTGCTACAATAAGTTGTTGTTTGATAAAGTCCACAGGAATTATCTTGCTTGTGTATGCAGCAGTCTGTGGCTAAATGCTTAGTATAACAGCTAAATAATTGCACCGCATTACACTTAAAAACAGACTTGTACAGAGAAGTGTCTGAGCAGTGCTTCGGTGATTTTGAATTCTCTTTTGACCCGTCTGGTTCTCCGAGGAGGAGTGTGTCCGACATGTCAGCAGAGTTTTGTTCAAAGCAAAGCAAGGTGACAGGGATGACTGGTGCTGTCACCTCGAGGCCATCATTGTGCTTTTCAGACCACAAGATCAGACGTGATGTGTTGTTTGCTGGTTACAAAAGATAAGAGTAATACTGCATGTTTGGAAATCTTCATAGTCCTCTGAGAGAGTGATATTTACCAAAATGGTTTAGTGCTTGTTGTCAGTCAATGTAATTGTGTGCCGACGTACCTCTCATATGGTGAATGTAGATATATGTACAAACAAAAGAAACAAGCCAAGTGATTTTAAATCAGTCAGGTGTTGCTAGATATTATCTTTTTAGTGTTTGGGTGACTTTGCATGGTTGTTTTGTATCAGTGAGATAATAATACAAAGTGGTTTTGAAATAACAACCATTTAAATGTTCACTTAAAGTAATAATGCAGTGTTGAATTATGTGTTACATAGACGTGTTAATATGCAAGGTTGGATAATGTGTATATTTAGTATTTGATTGGTTATGTGTTGCGTGTAACGGTGGTGCAATGCATACCAATGTGAAGAATGTGAACTCTTTCTTAGTTAAAAATAATTGTTTAAATATTATTAATTGTTTTTGTTGTACAGTGTATGTCAAGATTGCTGTCTTGGCAGAAAAATAAACTTGCCATAAAATATTGACATTGTTCCACTCAAACTGTGTGAAATAATTACTTTTTTATTGAGATCATTTCAAATTCCACGCTGTATTTTACTGTCAAAATGAAATCCCATCTAGTCAATTCTTTCTGCTGCATGAACATCCGTAATGTCCTTATTGACTGCTACATGTGACATATTGTTGCTTAAATGAAGTGTGCTACTTGACAAGGGCATCATTTAAAGTTTTATCTACAGAGATGCTTACTTAAAGAGACCCTATTATGTTTCGTAATTGCATTTTGAGCCTCTACTATGACATGTCTCCATGCTTTAAAGGGCCCATGTCATGCTTTTCTGGTTATTACCATTCCCCTTGTGTGTGATGAAGCTTTTTCTGCATGTAAACGGTCTGCAGAGTCACAAACCCTCAAAGTACACCCTGTAGCGAGTAAAACTCTAACACAGAAAAGACCTGTCTATGCTGCCCCAGAACGCCTCGTTGGGGATTTCTCTTTTTCCATTGTTTGCTTCTTGGGTATAGTGACGTATTTCGGGTATAGTGACGTAACGTAATGGCTCCAAATGGACCAATCTGCGGAGCCGTTACGTTACGTCCGCGGAGCCGTTACGTTTGGACCAATCCGCGGACTTCCTCACACACACACACTCGGCGGGACGTTGCGAGGCTCGCTGCTGCGAGGAGCGGGACACTGTGAGCCGGCTCACTGGTGTGGGGTCGGCGAGACAGCGAGACACCGCGGAACTCAGCCTGGGCACACACACAAACTCCCAGCCAGGCTGCGGGTGTGTGTGTGTGTGTATCGGGCTGGGTTTCGCTGTGTCTCGCTGTCTCGCAGACTGCCACTGGGCTCACAGGGAGAGGGGGGGGCAGGAGCTCCAACAAGCCGTTTAGGACAGAGAGTGAATACACATACTATACAGAGATGCTGTTTGAGAAACCAATGTGAGTTTGGAAAATTGCACAATATACATTTATTTTAGTAGACCTCAACAATGGAATAATGATCAGTAGAAATGGCCATGACATGGGACCTTTAATGTTCTAAAAAGGTCTTTGTTTTCTCATCCTGCCTGTGCTGTAGCACATCTTTACAGGCACAAAAACCTATATAGCACACTACATGAAAGGGATAACCCAAAAAAAGCATAATAGTGCCTCTTTAAGCTTCAGACATAACACCTGTAATTGAAAAAAATATCTTCCCGGTCTTTTACATTAGCAATATTCACATTTTACAGCTTGAATATAATCAGGTAGCAACACATGTCATTAATTAGGAAGAAAATGTGTTATTAAGAGAAGGTATGAAACACTATCTCCAGCTTGTAGAGAGAGGAACAGGTAACAGTGCCTTTAAAACAAAATAATTACAAAAGCCACCTCTAAATGTACAAACCAGGCATTACTCCAGTCCTTTCAATCAAATCTCAGTATTTCTTCCAATGGGATCTGAAGTCAGAAATCAAAACACCTCTCACTCCAGTTCTCGCCATTGTTAGTTCAGTTACAATATTTGACGGGTATAACTGGCCCCGCTGAGTTTGCTTTGGCGTAATGAAACCGCAGCTATGTGAGTTAATCCGTGTGTTGTCCCTCAGGTTTATTGGTTCTCTCGATGCCTGTGAGGCCTCTCGCTGTGCTCAGCAGCTCGGCGAAGAAGAGCGAATTCAACCAAGGAAAAAGGCTGTGTGCCGTAAAAAGATTAACAAACACACCGAGCCATGCCTGCTTTAACACATCAGCCGCTCTCGGGCCTGATGTTTCATTAGCTCTGACCATGAAGTGGAAATGAGCATGCATATAATACGATTAACTATTAATAGGAACTGTAATTGTTGTGAATAGAGGGGTTATTAGGGTTGTTGCATTGAAAACATCAACCCTGAGGCCCCTGGGTGTCATATGCTCGTCACATAGATGTGCTTATTTTTGTTAACGCTTAATATATACGTGTTATAGTGTCTTGCTCTCATTAAACAGGCAGTGGGCTGCAGACGAAAGAGAAGATGGATGATGTTATTTTCAGATTCCCAGTGACACTTAAAATGTGCGACAGGTGTCCTTGCCTTTAAGCGTCTTTTAATATTCATGACACCGGTTAAATATTCATGTTGCAAATAAAGCAAAGTTTGGAGAGGCGAGTGTCCAAACGGCTAAGAGGCTGCTTTCCGTGACTCTGATTTAAAGGGAAGCCGTCTGATCCGATCAGAAGCCAGGAGTCATGCTATTGAACATCAGAGGAAAAGCTGGAGGATAAGCCTCGCTGTTTATCAATGATTTCATGAAAGAATGAGTGCAAAGGCTCTTCTCTTCCATGCTAAAGCTTGAAGAGAGATGCAGCTTTGTTGGATAATAGCAGAATTGAAAGTTTAGGAAAATATCCCGCTTTAGCAACGAATGCCAGCTGGTATGAGACCCAGAAAGAAAAAGGTTTCAAATTTCCTTTTTTTTTTTTGATCACACAAGTCTTTAGGGTGGTATAAACATAATGACTAACACTAATATATTTGTATTTTTGTTTTATGTGTGTCCTTTGTAGAGGACATCGGGTGTTAGTTATGCGAAGCACAGTATACAAACAACATTAACATACAAGCACATTTAGACAACATTAGAGCACAACAACTCAATGCAACAAATACTGAGCCCTCTTTGGTAGTACTCCATCCTTTTTTGAAATGCAGAGATACATCTGACACTTGATGTGTGTTTTCCCACTGCATCCGTCTGCCATGAACCCTACAGAAACCTACGTGTTAGTTTTGGCCCATAGTGGACTCCATTTGTGTCGTGTAAAAAGGGGGAAATAAAAAGTTAGCAAATCCCCATGTCCTCCTCAGAGGACATTCACAAAAACATTTAGTTTTAGGTCAAATAAGTATTACACTGCTCTGAAAACTCACTGCACTAACTCCTAAGATGTTCCCTTACTATAATTAATTAAAATATTGAACTCACAACACTGGTAATTACAAAATTACAAACTTACCATTTCTCTTTCTATAAATAGTGCTTGTGTTGATGGACGCCATTTTGAAATACAATGAAATTATCTTTTTCAAAGCCACACCCCCACATATGTCACATGTTTGAAAAGCCCAGGATGTCCTCTGTGGAGTACAATTGGACTTAATGCTGTGGCATGTATAACCTCAAAGTAGGACCAAAACCCAATGTGCTCCACAGAGGACAAAGATGAATGGGTGGGTCACAATATGGACAGCTCTAGATCTAATGGTGCCTCATTGAATACGGCACAATGTGGTAAAACTGCAAACTGGTTATAGTTAAAGTTTTCAGTTTAACCATCTCTTCTGAACCACAAAAACTCAACAAGTCGGGGATGGTTAAAATGCTTTAGTATAAGAAAAATAAAGCACTGTTTGAACACTAAATCATGGAATCATATCACAGTAGAGGCACGAAATACAAATATGCAAGATATGTCTTCTTTAAGTAGTTATACCACCAAAAACATAGCTAAAAGAGTGCAAATATTGGACGTATATTCATCAGGAGGACACTAACACAACTCAGAGTGAAAGCTAACGCTGCTAATAAGCCACTGTTTGCAAACACTTTCAACATAACAAATCTATAAAGTCGTGTTTTCCATTTGTTGTCGCTTGATCTGCTGCCGCCATCTGAACAAAGAACACAAACTAATCATTAATGAATACAACAGAAGTTATTTTCCCCTTCACTTCTGTCACTGCCAACACAATGTAGTAGAAACCTTTTAGAAATGGGCTCCTTGATTCATGTTTATCCGAGGTGTCAAGAAGCTTGGGAAGTTGTTTCACACATTTAAACAATGACAGGATGCTTCATATCACTTTTGACATAATTAATGTAGTATTTAAAGCATGCCGTCATTTCTGGGTGAAGTAATGTTATTGTGAAGGCCTGGGGTTTGACGGTAGGGAGGGTTTCCACTTGTACATACAGTCTATAGTTATCGCTTTGTATTATACACACATGGGATACTCTGTGAATATCCTTCAGATACTTAACAAATAAGAAATGATAAGTACGTTTTGAATGATAACAGATTTTAAGCATTGACTTACTGAAGCAAAACAAATCCTTTATTTTCTAGAACCACAGATCTATCAAGTTAACTGAGTCTCTTTGGATCAATTAATGAAGTGGCAGAAAATCCACTTCAAGGCAGACAATAACTTTGTACTGGTGAGAATGGAGTAAAGTTTATGATTGGATTTGTCTCCGCTTTGTGATTACAGTAATTGTTGAGTCGAGCCAGTGAGCATGGAACATCAAAGACTGTGGGTGTATGAACTGTTGAGCATCCTAATACGCATAAGGGACATGCTGTGTGTATAGCCTTTAAGTCCTGAGTAACAGACCGGGAATTAACACATGACAGATGGAACATAGTGTGAATGTTAAAGCTTAGCCATTGTTTCCGCATCGGCTACGAAAGCACACTATGGGAATCCAAGAAATGCAAAAAGGTAGATATTTTTGCATTAATAAACCATTCAGTAAAAGGGTTCAAAATATACCCACTGCTGTTGAAGACAGAGAACTATAATGGGCATACTTCGTATATCTCTGATATTGGAGACTTCCACAGAGAGACTACTACAGTCATGGCCCTGAGAAATTAATAATATGTTTGAAATTGATGGAAAAAGCTTGAGTGGCCGCCAGCATGTGGCATGAGCACTGGACCTGGGACAAAGATTAAATAGCCTTGATAAAAACATGGTGGTTGCCAGAGTGACTCGCCTTCTTCCACGGCACAAGGTAATTTCATACAGTCTTGGAGCTTCCAAAATACTTCCTGCCACTGTTAAAATATCCAACACAGTCTCACGGCATTTCGTGTTATAGTCACAAAATTAATCTATTGATTCGTGTTCACCAACACGATTTCGCCATTTTTTTGTGTCACACAGAGCGATTTTAAAAGCAATGTAAATAATAACAAATTAGAAGGAAAAAAAGATGACAAAAAATACAGATTTCAGTATTCTGACACAGAACGATTTTGGATTCGTGCCTGCACCAAATAATAACAAATTAGAAGGAAAAAAATATGTCAGTATTCTGAGGCTCTGAGCCATTTCTTTTCCTCGCGGACGGCAAAAAAACTCCGACATTATACCATTTAAAATAAAAGGGCTTAGGGTAAGATATTGAGTAAGAAAATGTTTTTATGAACCACACAGCTTCTGGTATTCTAAGACCCGACCGGACAAAAAGACGTGTTGCAGGCACGAAACATACTACCAATAGAAATGCATTGCTTTTAAAATCGTTCTGTGTGACATGAAAACAATTTGAAAATCGTGTTGGTGAACACGAATCAATAGATTAAATTAATTTCGTGACTATAACTTTGAGCGAGAGAAATGTCAGCCATACACATTTCAGCTGGACCACCCATAACTATTTTTGTTAAAGGAAAGATGGCAGCTTCTCAACACAAGGAGCTTCTGCCAATTAGGATACCATAGGTTCATCCCAGCAGATGAAGACTGGACTGATCATTTAATACAGATGAATTGCAGGAGTGATGTCTCTGTGGATATATAATGGCTCTAAGAGCTCTAGGCCGACATGTTCAATTAGTTTCTAGGTTGTAACCTCACATATCCTTGTTTAATATTCATGAAAATGCCCTCTGCATGCTTTACAGCTAATGACACCGCTAAGTCAAAGTCTGTAAAATAAAAACGCCAATAGAGACAATGACTCAGATATTTATGGGAGGGTTTTATGGGCCTCTCTAGAAATTGAACAGAAGCTTATTTGTGATGTTATGGGCAACCCCCATGAGGGATACAGTAGTTTAAGGTCAAAGGTTGTGATGGTAAATGGGTATCTCTGTGTAAAGTAAGACCTATCCTATTGATTAGAGGGGGTCATCTCTGTCTTTACCCTAAAAAGGCACTAGAAATACACTTTCTCTTTTCTATTTGAGAAAGTTTGCAATCAATTATCCAAAGACTTCTCTAACAGTGTTTGCAGGCAGCATAAACTGTTTATCTGATGAAAAAACTAGCAGTATTTTTAAAGTAAACCTAAGTGCAACTCGATCTGTCATTGAGTAAAAACTCTAATCAAATGAGGACACAGATATTTGTCTGGACTTTAATCCTTAGTTGATTCAGTTGAAACATTTCGTACTTGATTTGACTTTTCCAGCTGTTTAAATTTGACCAAAAGTACATAGGTCAGGTACCAAATCAGGGTCACCAGATCTTAAAAGAACAGAACGATTATTTCCACAAATGCTTAAATGCGTCATCTACGAAAAGATCTTCCAAGCATTATATATTCCCATGTTTTTTAACTTTACTGTAAACTGGATTCTTTCTCAAATGCAAATAATGACAACTGAGCTACTACAGTTCAGAACACTTTATACCAAAAGATGTGTTTGGTTTTTACACTAATATACATTTCTATTACTATAGGATAAGGCTTTAGGAAAAAGTATAGATAAATGCAGAGGTGGGAAGTAGTGGAGTACAAATACTTTGTTAAGTACATTTTCTGGTATCAGTACTTTACTCCACTACTTATTTTTCTGACGACTTTTTACTTTTACTTCTTACATTTGAACACAAACACCTGTACTTTCTACTTCTTACATTTTGAACTCAAATACCTGAACTTTCTACTTCTTACATTTTGAACCCAAATACCTGAACTTTCTACTTCTTACATTTTGAACACAAATACCTGTACTTTCTACTTCTTACATGTTGAACACAAATACCTGTACTTTCTACTTCTTACATTTTGAACCCAAATACCTGTACTTTCTACTTCTTACATTTTGAACTCAAATACCTGAACTTTCTACTTCTTACATGTTGAACACAAATACCTGTACTTTCTACTTCTTACATGTTGAACCCAAATACCTGTACTTTCTACTTCTTACATGTTGAACACAAATACCTGTACTTTCTACTTCTTACATGTTGAACACAAATACCTGTACTTTCTACTTCTTACATGTTGAACTCAAATACCTGTACTTTCTACTTCTTACATGTTGAACCCAAATACCTGTACTTTCTACTTCTTACATGTTGAACACAAATACCTGTACTTTCTACTTCTTACATGTTGAACACTAATACCTGTACTTTCTACTTCTTACATGTTGAACCCAAATACCTGTACTTTCTACTTCTTACATGTTGAACCCAAATACCTGTACTTTCTACTTCTTACATTTTGAACCCAAATACCTGTACTTTCTACTTCTTACATTTTGAACCCAAATACCTGAACTTTCTACTTCTTACATTTTGAACCCAAATACCTGTACTTTCTACTTCTTACATTTTGAACCCAAATACCTGTACTTTCTACTTCTTACATGTTGAACACAAATACCTGTACTTTCTACTTCTTACATGTTGAACACAAATACCTGTACTTTCTACTTCTTACATGTTGAACACAAATACCTGTACTTTCTACTTCTTACATGTTGAACACAAATACCTGTACTTTCTACTTCTTACATGTTGAACCCAAATACCTGTACTTTCTACTTCTTACATGTTGAACACAAATACCTGTACTTTCTACTTCTTACATGTTGAACTCAAATACCTGTACTTTCTACTTCTCACATTTCCCAAACAGGCTGGTTCCTTTAGTTTGAATGTGTGTTTGGTGGCGTGATCATTATTATTTAGAGTCATTGCGTGCCTATTGATTTGAACACGATCCGTGTATCCATCATTTCCTGGTCTTCTCTAAAGAAGAGGGACCAATGAAAACGTTGTCATGTTGCCGTTGTTCAGCATGGAAACATTCATTAGCTAACAATGACATTATTGTTCTATTAATATAAAGGGAGCTCAGGTACTCTTTAAAACAGCTGCTAGTTATGGGTACTTTTTACTGAAGTACATTTCAAAGCCTCTTTACTTTTACTTGAGTAAAGAAGTTTAGTCAGTACTTCTACTTTTACCAGAGTATTTTTAAACACGAGTATCTGTACTTCTACTTGAGTAAAGGATGTGTGTACTTTTCACATCTCTGGATAAATGTCATCTACTAATACAATATAACTGACCATATGAAAATCTCTGCTGACTCAATTGGGGATTAAACTGTGAAAGGGCTCCATCTAGTGACATATTGGAGAAAACACATGTACTGTACATCGTTTGCTCCAAGTTTGACTGTGAATTAACAGCTTTTCTTATCTGGATGTAGCATATACTCGTACTTTTAAAGGTAAAATGAGCCTCATAATGAATAATCATTTTCTCATCATTGGAAACACAAATCAAAGACCAACGAATGGGAAAAAAGACACTGTTTATTAATGAAATGTCAGTTTTACCACAGCAGGAAAAAATAAAGCCCCGTCATCACCAGTGTATTTGGCAGTTACATTTAATTACATTACTTCCCATTATTCCCAACAGGTTGCAGCCACAAAATAAACAATATCAACGTCATTAGAGTCTAATTAGATACAAAGCATTCAGCTGACTGCTTTGTAATTGAACAAGATTAAGAAAATATCCCGTTAAACATACCTCATTCAATAATTTAAAACCGTTTCCTGTATTCTGATCACGCTTAAGACTTTTAGAACAAAATATTAAGAGAAGGCTTCCACATGTTTCTGTTGTACAGTGCATTTCTACTGTATGTTATTTACCTTCATAATCTACTAAATTATCCTTCATTTCCATTTCAAATGTTCAAATATCTCCCACATTATTTTACAATTTACGTTAAATAACTTGTTTTCAACAGTACAAATGGTGGTTCAGTAAAACCCTCTTTTTTTATGAAAGATATTACAGATAGACTAATTATCTGCACAGAAAATATTTAAAAAATGGTACTTTTTATCCGAAATTGAGCCAGTAAAAGACCATTTAGAGACAACAGTTTACTCCTCAAAGCCAGTGTAATTCTCACAAATTAGCCAAACATTTTTTTAGGAACAAATTTAGTTTTGTATTAAAAGGCTCAACTGTTTCCTCACGCTTTGTACTAACTAACAGTGACTTTATCTAAACTAAAATTCCCTACTTTCTTTGTAAAATACTTACACAATGCCACAACGGTACTCGTTTGTCAAACACTATAAACCGAGAAATTAATTCCCACGCTTAACAGACATTAGTGCAACTGTTAAGCTATAAATAAATGAATATCTACGAAGCTAAATACCCAAAACATTAAAAATAATTAAGTAAAATTAGACATTTCCTATAAGTTTAGCAGCTCTACTGTTTTATATTCAAACATTGATCATAACATGTGATTTGATATGTTTATAGGAATCTGAGAACTACATACAGGGACAAGTGTAAGTAAACATAAATCAGGATATAAAAAGCTGAACCCGATATGCAGCACATTCAAGAATAATCGCCGTAACCAACGCAAAACAAATCTTAGCCTAATAGTGCAGTCCAAATAAATAAACTCCAACTAATTTCAAAACAATTTTACCCATGAAATCAGTGCCTTCATATTTATACCCGCAGTTTTTACAATTTAAAAATGGCGAGATCAGTAGAAAAAAGAATCTGCTTTGATCGTACAAAAATGTAGTTGATGTGATAAATGTCTCTTAATATCACAAACTGTGTTAAATAGCAATGCCTTAAACATAATGAATATAACACTTATATTCCCTCAGTATTGAATGTAGTCATTAAATAACGGAGCCCTTACATTTGATCCTTTGCAATGACTAGCTGAGCACTTGCCGGTGTATAAGACAACACAATCAAACAAAAATAAAATAATATTTTTCATACAATAAGGCGCGAAACAACCCCCAGATTAATAATTACACCTCTGCATTAGGGTTTTACTGAAGCCTATTGATTAAATAATGCAAAATACATTTTAAAAAAGCTGCATTGTCCGCGTTACCCGACTGTTTCTGACTTCAAATCAAACCCACCATTACCAATGCAGATGCACTATATCACTACTAACTAGCATATGTTACAATCACCAACTGTCACTCAGCGTTGTGATTACACAAAGCCTGTAAAGCAGATATAATACTGAGCAGTACGAGCGCTGGAATGCTTAAAAATAGGAGGACTGGATTGTATCTTCATGAAAAACTTTGGTCAGCAATTCTGACATTTTTGGAACAGGATGGCACAAACATTTTGTTTCTAAAACCTCGACGCTTTTGCAGATCATTTTAAAGTTCCAGAAATAGTCACTTTCATTCTCTTGAAAACAAATGTACACAAAGTGCAAGTACATACTGTATACAAGAACATATCAACTTGTAGTTATAATTGTCCGTTACGACACAAAATGAATGATTTTATGATAAAAACCCATCTTCATACCTCAAGCTGTGCGCGCTGCAACGTAGTAAAAATGTCCTCTCATCCTCAGACTCCACAGTCATTGCTTCTGTCTATGAGTTTGCGGCGGAGGATGAGGAGGGTGGAGATGCAGGCCACTGAGATGTGGAAGAGCAGCTGCCACGGGTTCCTCAGGCCGAGCAGGTAGAGGTTGCATAGGACGATCACACTCAGCAGAGCGAAGGACTTGTGTTTCTTCAGAGAGGAGTGGAACAGGTAGAGGTGGCACTGCGAACACAGAGAGGTCACATGGTGTCTGTTAGAAAAATATCACTCGTCACCGGCTTGAGCTTCAATCTCAGGATCCATGTATCTGTGATCCTCTCAAGAATGGAAGTAGTCATCACATACAGAGCATCAACTAGTTCCTGAACAGTGTCCTTCACATGCTGATATCCAAGAGAGGGAGTTACACAGTCACAAGATGGAGGAATAGAAAGCAGTATTCAATGTTTACTTCAGATTAGCTCCACGTCAGAAATGATCCTGCTTGTCATATGTCTATCTCCATAGAGGCTGAATCATCATGTTAATCACATAGCTATCATATGCCTCAAACAGTCCTGATGCTCTTCTAGGTAATCATACATCCTGTCATGTACACAGCTACAGTTGGGATACCTTTGTTATCATGTGGACTCTGATATTGGAAGAGAACATTCACTATTTTCAGATACAGAAAGAGACGACACAGGTGAGTTTCTACGTGACCATATCAAACTGAACTATATTTACCTGACACACACAACAGACAAACGCCATCAGAAACGCCACAACGTTCCAGACGCCTTCATAATCATCCTGTGTGTGGAGAGGGCATACAATGACACAAACTGATGATTTGACATCATTTGAAGTAAAGCACATTTATTTCAGATTAGGGCTTATTCACACAAGAGTGACAAGTTTGCAGTTTTACACAGACCTCATTATTGTCAAACTAATGCTTTCACAGCAGTACTGGCTGCTGTGTATTAGCATTTTGCTGTGAAAGCATTAGTTTGATAATAATGAGGTCTGTGTAAAACTGCAAACTTGTCACTCTTGGAATTAATGTAGGCTTATTCAAGAACTTTTTTTAAATAAAGTCCCCAGCTAAACATGGGTTTGTTACAGTAAGTGAGTGAGAAAGACACCGTGCAGCATTGTTTCTCTTAAACAATACTTTGAAAATGCATAATTCAAACACATAAAATATAATGTATGAAGCACAAGCATGCTAGACTCTTCTATGGACATATTTGAAGTTTTTACAATACCTGAAATGTGTACTCTATGAGGTGAACACCACGGATTATGTTCAACGATGCACACACGATATTAAGAACCAGAGAGAGGATGCCTGGCGCCGTCACTGGTTCCAGTCTAACATTCTGACCTGGTAAACAAAGAAACGTCCCCATAAATACTGTTAAAATGATAAAACAACATGGAATAATAAATGCTATGTTGTATAAGTCAGTCTTACCTGATGCAGGGCCTTGCTCCATGTGTCCATTAGCAGTGCCGTTGGTGAGATCCACTTCCTCCAGGTTAATTTCTTGCGGTGGATGGATGATCAGATCCCCCTGGACCTCTGCCAACGTCACCTCCAGCGCCGGACCCCCACTCTGGTTGTACTGCTGCTTCAGCTTCTGAATGGTGCTGTCTGTAACATATTAGTTTTTATATAATAGTTTAAAATATCTCTTGTTTATTTGGTTTTTCCCACACATAACACAATAACAGGAGAAAATACAGGTGCTATATAAAAAGATGACAAAACAATAATGATAATAACATAAAAAGACCATTACAGTAATAGCAATGAAAACAATAAACCAAAAAACACATTGACATGATAAGACAGAAACAGAAAACCCCTCAGACCAGTCCCTCCCACCTCTACCAGTAATCGTCAAAAAAGGAGAAAGAAAGATTGAACTACTTGCCTCAGCAAATGCAAGTGTATTTGTCATAGCACTTCTTCAGCCTACAATAGGTTGTTGGATGTTTTCTATAAGCCAGACCAGTACTTATCAAAGAGATGTGGCTTTCTAAAACATCTCAACACAGGAGCTTTGTTTGTGATTCCCCAAATCCTTTGATCCGCCCAAATGATCAACAGATTTCTCCTCATACTCACCAAATTCCAAAAATGGATATGGCCTGTCTGCCAGGGAAACAGCAGTGCTATTGAAGCATGTTGTGAACTCCCAGCGCAGGTCTTCCAGGAAGCAGAAGGCCTTAGCCACAGGGAGGCTGCAGTGACACACCGTCATGTAGGACACTCCCTCTGAAGAGATGAAGCTGAACAGGTGAGAGCAGAAAGGTGTTTAGTAAACAAACAGCCTGACACAGCGGGACACTGATACCCCTGTGATCAGACATTCTCTCCGTTTTTAGCATCACAACATCAGATACACCCTGAACCTCTACAGCAGGGGTGTCCAAACGACGGCCAATTCAAAAAGTATAATGGAGTACGGCCCACAAATTAAACTTGTGCTCGGCTTATATTGTACTTCTTAAATATGAATGTAAACATATATTACACAGTAGTATTCGTGTGTTAATAACACCACTTTTCAAATACATTTTGAACATTTTCACATCTTAGTTGATAAGATAAAAGCCCAATTACTTAACAACAGCTTGAAATACAACCTTCCTATTTCTCGTTATTATAATCAATCTGGGGCTTCTGTTTTAAGCGATGAGCTGCCAACACTCACAAGCATCATGTACCTACATCTGATTGATTTTGCTAACTTATAACTGAACTTATGAGGCAATAAACCTCTAGTGAGTGGCCCAGCCCTTCGTATATTTTTCTGTATGTGGCCCTCGGTGAAAAAGGTTTAGACCCCCCTGATCTACAGACAGTCTGCTGCCGCTTTGTTTCCTGAATCCTTACAATATGTTGAGCTCCTGGCCCTTGACGGTCCCTCTCTCAGGGAATCGGGCCAGGGTCTTGCTGATGGTCCTGAGCTGCTGCTTCCTCTCCTGGAGCTCTCGGAAGTGTTCAAAGTCTGTGGAGGCCGACAGGGGGAGTCCATCCCTGAGCCGAACCACGAAGGCAAACAGGATCAGAGGCATGATCCACTAGGTCCATGGAGAACACACTGCCTGCATGGGGTGAAGATCAAACCATCAGTGATGCTATGTTAGGGCTGCACGTTAATTTTCTTGAACAAATCCATTCATTTTTGGTCTAAAAAATTTAAATAGTTAAAAGATACTCATCATATGTCTCTAAAGGCACTTCTGACAACTCTAAATGTCTTATTTTGTATTTTATTTACAACTGAAGATTATTTTTTTGGTTTGAACATTTAAACATGATCAAAATAGTTGCACATTGATTTCCTGTGTATATCAGTTAATCAACCAATCATGTCAGCTCTACAGTACATCATTATAAAATACACCACGTTCCCTGTTTATTAGACACAGTTAGCCAAAAGCTACATCAAATAAAGTTGTATAAGCTACTACTCTTGGAATAGTTCTGGCAAAAGATAAACATGAAAGAATAATTTAATAGTCCTGTTTTCTTTGCATATCATACACTAGTTTCAGCAGGTGCACACATGGACTGACCACTGGTTGTTTATTACTAGTTAACTACGTATGTTGTTAAATTGTGCAATATTGGTACAAATGCCCCTGCTTTTAAAACAGTAAAAAATATCAGTTTATGGTTATTCTATAGGTGTAGAAACACATAACACCTTACCTCAGTATCATGGGTTTCATGCTGCACTTTGTGACTTAGCTCCTGGAGGCTAGCTTGCTATAGCATCATATAAAGCAGCAGTAAGCCAGCAAAAAGCTCCACATACAAGTTACAATTGCGTACTTTCTAAATACAGAGATTTAAACATACAACATGTGTTATAACATATGCGGAAGAAGTTATATTTCAATTAGCAGACGAGCTAGCTTCACATATTCTTCCGGATACAAAAGAACCACAACAAATGCACTACGGAAACAAGGGAGGGACCAAACATTCAAAATCAGTCGGGTTTTTTTATGTATCTTTTTTTTAATTATTATTTCTGCCTCTGATGAGAAGATTATAATATACAAAATATATTATATTTATATGTCCTTGAATAAAAAAATTAAGAAAAGCTGCAAAAAATAAACAAATCCACTACGGAAACAACAGAGGTCTACCACCACCAGTCGTAGTTATAATGCAGCGCAGCAACCCTTTCACTTAAAAGCGAACTTAGCACCGTCAGTGACTAGCTGATTACTTGGCTAGCTACTGTGCAAAGGTGAGTAACGCTTTGTGTTTAATATCACATTAATATCAAGTTGTTCTTTTTTAACATCACGTAACATGTGAATATTAAGTGCGAACTGTGAGATATTGGACGGAAGAGAGCTAGCTGCTAGCTGTTAGCACAACCATTTTGGAAGCTTCAACGTTTTTGTTGACAATATTTAACATTTAAATATTTGTTTTCTGTCACTGGGAATAAACATGTCGTATTTTAAGATTGTTTGCAGTATTGACTGATAGCTGTTGTTTACAAATAGTGCATGTTGACATTAGTGGGTTAATAGTTTCATGTGAACTGTGTTTTGATCAGCTGTTCCTTGTTTTTGATTGACACCATTTGTGATGGATTACATTTTGACTGCTTTTAAATCATGTATTAGTCACTGCGGTCTTCATGCCCTGGAGGAGATCTAGTTTAGGCCACTTGCTGTTTATTATAAGTTAACTAGGTTGGTTTCAAAATATTGCAATATTGTTAAATGTTGCTCTGCTTCAAAAACAGTAGCATTGCAGATTATGGTCAATTATATAGGTGTGCAACTAAATAACTGATAATACTTTGCACGGATCAGACTTCTCCTTGAGTTGTTGTGATTATTGCTTATTATTACAATCCGACAATACCCAGCACATCAACACATTCAATGTAACACGATAAGAATCTGGCTATTAATACACTGCATTCCCGTCAATATATTTTTATAAGTGTGAAATGTGAATGCAGTAAAACTCAGCTGCACTGTTAGCTGTGAATGTACATACAGCAAACACCAGTGATAATCATAATCAAATACTGCATGCTCTCTTATCTCTTTGTCCCAGCACTACACCCAAAACACACAAGTCATTTCATAATTACAACATGTCAGCACTGTGACAAAGCATTTCCTGAACAATACGCACCCTGTGTATTTCAAATTGTGAGAAGATTAAGCTTTTAATAAATCCAGACGTTGCTGACAGATTATTGCACACTCTGCTGTTTTGCCAGCAATACACTGTCCAGCAGAGAGGATGTATCGGTGTGTGCATGCTGCTGACACACCACATATTAGTGTGAAGATATAACAAGCCTATTGTCTTTATTACAACAGGAGATAAAAACAAGTTGAGGCAGGGTGGGTGTTGTGAATTTCAGAATTTCAGTAAATCTAGTATCAGCATGTTAGTGACATTTCACACATTGATATCCAAGTAGAGAGTGGAAACGAGGAAGCTATGCCATGCTCTACTTGTGATATGCAAAGCCAATACATCTCACTTCTCTCACCCCCTCCCCTCTTTCTTTCTCCTCCCCTTTCTGTTTCACTCTGTCTTTCACAGTCTCTCTACATGTGTTTGCCGGCACACTTCCTTTAAATATTCTGTACAGCTGACTGCTTCTTAAAGAGAAGTTCATTCTTATCATGTTTCCTGCTTAGCTTTTTTGGTTTTATTCTTCATTTCAGGTAACTTAGGTGACAATGGGGGTGAAAGACCGCCCTCAGTGTTACTTTGATGTGGAGCTCAACCGGGAGCCAGGTAAGAGAATTTTTGAAAAGTATAATATGTAAACAGCCGATAACTATAAAGTGACATCATTAAAAAATATGTTTTTACTGTATGTATGTTGGTTTTGTGGTAATAACAGTCTGTTACTTTTCATGCCAGAGCTTTGTGCAACTGATGTGAATTTAAAGACCAGTTTAAAGGCCTCAGGTAAAATAAACGGTCATATTTGGCCATGCTCCAATCAGGATGTAAGGGTAGTTTTACATTTGCTCCTGGCTATAGAAAAGTGTACAAAGTCTGAGCTTCACCGCAGGATTCTTCTCACAATTGGAGGCCAATTAAAAGTGTGCAGGGTAGTAAACATGGTGCTACTTGCAACTCTTAATTGTCTCCTAAGGCTATTCTTTTGCCATCCCTCACATTTTTTGTAGCACCACGTTTACATTGACAAAGCCTCATATCATTAAACATGAAAAAGATGATGGTGTGCGTTAATATTTTTGCTCTTTTGTGTGTGTTTTACAGTTGGACGCATTGTCTTTCAACTGTTTTCGGACGTTTGTCCCAAGACAAGCAAAAACTTTCTGTGTTTGTGCACTGGTGAGTAGAAGCAGTTACATGACGGGCATTGCATAACCGAGTATTTGTGTTAAAATAACAAAACAAAAACAAGATAAACCTGTAAGAGAACATGGAAGGAACAGTATGTCTTTGCATGGCTCAAAAGTACACATGACAATGAACCCTGGCATTGAAGTACTCATTCAATCCCTCCAATTAAATCAGAGATATTCGGTTTCACGGGCAAGTTCTCCATCATGTTCTGGATTTTAATCATGTCTGTTCCTTGTCACATTTGACCTATTTCTGTCAGAGAAATAACGAGTAAACAGACAAATTGTCCTGTACTTCATATAATGTGCTGAAAGTGCCATGTCTGCAAAAAAACAAATACAAATATTTTGAACGAGTTGGAAAAACCACAGCCACAGTTAGGCAATCAGAGATATTTGGGATTTAAAGGCAACTGTATGTCTGTTCCTTATTACATTTCACATATGTTTTCTTTCTGTCTCTACCAGAAACATAATAAGTCGGCAGATATACAGGAAAATGAACTATAGACGGAAAGTAAGAGCCACAACATCATGTAGACACACCCCTCGTTGGTGTTGAGGAAAGGATGTGTGTGTGTGTGTGTAGTGTAACAGTGACAGATGGAGTCACAGGAAGCCGCTGTGTCTCCCGACTTTAGATATTTCATCCCGCCGAGCAGGACACGCTGTACTGTAGTCGCCGCGCTCTGCCTAGAGAGAGAGCCATAAATCTGCAAAACCGGCTGCAGATCCGTCCTCGCTCTCATTTTTCACCCCACCTGGCCGCGGGAATGCAACGCTGACAAGGGCAGACACGGCTCGTTAGTCTGTTGCTTTTCCTGGACGGACGGACACACACACACACACACACACACACACACACACACAAAACCCAGGTCTCTAATGTGCCCTTTTAGCAGGGGATGGGCTCATAGGAAACCAAACCCTTGGAACAACATTTCGGGAAGCTTAGCAACCTAATCTGCCCATTCTAACAGCGAGCCCTCTGTACTCCAAACACACCCTGAAACACATCTAATGAAATCTCTGCAGACATGTCTCTTTTCACCCCAGGGAAGGGGAGATCCCGGGGGTTTTAGATCTGGGACGATGTAATCTGTTTTCACTCCAGAGGAAGGTTTTTAATGAGCAGCAGGAGGCCAATCAAAGGCATCCACTTTATTGAAATCGACCACATATTTGCATTTATTCCCTTCTTTAATTGATGTGGCAGCATGTATTAACACCGAAAAGCACCGGGTATAAATCATTTTAATAATAAGGCTTTATTTGCATAGCACTTTTCATACACAGCGTGCAGCTCAAAGTGCTTGAACAATAAGACACTAAAGACAAGATCAACAGAAACAATTAATTAAATTCAGGTCAAAATAAATACTGAAGATATATTTTACAAGGAGGTAAAATAGGCAAAAAAAAACGATAATAATAATAATAATCCAAAAATTCAGAACAGATAACCCACACAGTAAACGTAAGAAGGACTTAAGTCAAAAAATAATAAATATTAAAAATGATATTTAAAATAATTGGATCAAATTGAATACAAATATATCATTTATTTATAGTAACAATATTAATAATGATAATAATAACATTTAAAATACCTATGAAAGGGGGATGTCGCTGATTAAAAGCGAAATAAAAGAATATAATATATGTTTTCAGTTGTTTAAAAATGGCGACTGAGTTTTCCTCTCTGACATTTCCTGGCAGTGGCCGTTTCTCAATGTGGAGTATACCTGCTGCAGAGCCACTATTTCAAGTATACTACGTCACCGAGTGGCGCCGAAGGACTGTTTAAATGCCCAGCATTCGGCGCCACTCGATGACGTAGTATACTTGAAATAGTGGCTCTGCAGCAGGTGTACTCCACATTGAGAAACGGCCAGAGTGTTCCAGAGTTTGTAGTGGATGTGAACGACACAGTATGCAAAGGAGCCTCATCGAGTAGCCGCTCTGTCCTGCTTTGTGTTGGACGAGAGCTCAGTTAACATGCGTGTGATTTCAGGTGAAAAGGGAACTGGTAAACTCACCGGGAAAAAGCTGTGCTTCAAAGGCTCCACCTTTCACAGAGTGGTAAAGAACTTTATGGTCCAGGGAGGCGACTTCACCGAAGGTAATAATCTGTTTCATATACTCTGAAAGTGTGTGTTGTTTTATGGGAAGCAACAAAGCTGTTCCTAGATGTTACTCTGTCTGACTAAGAGGAATTAATACTCAAAATGATTTTCTGATACTTTGCTTAGTTTCACAGCAATTACATTCTGATATAGATATACGCTTCCAAATGTGTTCATATTAGCAGCCGTTATTCACTCACAGCACTTTCATTTTTAATGCTGTGGAATTATCTTCAATATTTTATTATGTTGGTTTCCAGGAAATGGAAGAGGAGGGGAGTCGATATACGGCGGCTACTTTGAAGGTAATGTGAATATTATTTAATACACAGTCTCTCATGAATGTTCATCTAAATACAACCGAGCTAATTCTGCATGACCACAATGCTGCATGATAATGTCATTTCCCTACGTTTGACTCCTTTTGACCTTCACTTGTGTATCGTGCTGTCTTCTATTGAGTAGTGGGCTTTATCAGATGAGCATGGAGAGTAGGTTTTCTCTCTCTCTACGATCTACCTGCCTAAAATGTTCTACATATTCTTTTATTTATAGAGTGGTCTTTTGCAAAATGAGAAGGTAAGAGATGTACACAGCTCAGTAACACCATGTCCACACTGCCCCCCCCCCCACCACCACCACCACCGTCCTCTGTGCAGATGCATTGCACTGCAGGAGGTTTCACTCAGACAGCCTCCTGTTAGACATCATGCCCCCCCCGACGTAGGGTGCTAAAGTTACTCTCTGTTACACACGTGCTATTTAGGCGGCAGGGTTCTCTGCTAGATGAGGAAATATCAGTGGAGATAAGATATTTAGCTCTGCACCGTGGACACATGTAGATACAATTAATACTTGGAACACAAACAAACACTGGAAGCATTTTAAATAACCTTTATATTTGCAATTAGCTTAATGACTTGGAGCTTTTCTCATTATATTTTAGTCCAATAAATCAGAATCTCAAAGCTTTTATTCGTCCCACAGCGGGGAAATGTACAACTTTTATAGCAGCAAGGTAAAAAATAATTCAAACGTACGCACAAAATGGGCATGAAAAAGAGCATAATAGGGCCATTTATAGAATATTAACATGTAAGTACACCATGGTTAAAAATAAAGTAAGGCAAGGCAAGGCAAGTTTATTTATATGCAATTCAAAGTGCTTTACAAAAATGGAAGACATTAAGAAAATGGCATTTAAAATCAGTCATTAAAAATAAAAAATAATAAAATAAACATTAAAAGAAAAAATACATGGATAAAAGTTACAGTGCAGTTTAAGATATGAATAGCTCAATTAAAAGCAGCGAAGTAGCATTGTTTTAAGCGAGTGAACATATAAAAGTAAGATTAAGGTTACAAATTGTATATTAATTGTGAAGAAGGAAGAGTGGAAAGGATAGATAATCCATCTCATACAACTCCAAGCTATTTACCTCCCATTTAACTGAATTGAACCCAGCTTAATATTCTTTAAGCTCAGAACATAAGTTTTATATAATTTAAGCTTCAGAGAAAGCCAAAACAGAGAAAGACAAATCCCTTTCTGGAAGGACTGGTTGGTGAGGTTTGATGGTTTACAGTCCTGTTCTCCCCTGAATATTTCCGCTGTTATTTATTTACACACTGTGAGACGGCGCTGTTTCTTCTCTGCTCCCCACAGATGAGAACTTCCTTCTCAAACACGACAAAGCGTACCTGCTGTCGATGGCCAACCGCGGGAAGGACACCAACGGCTCTCAGTTCTTCATGTGAGTTACACTTTGAAACCCCTCTGCACCTTTTTTTAATACCATTTAACACGTCACTGACATTATCTATTCATCTCTGTCCCTTTTGAGACTGTAAACTAGAATTTGCCATTAAGTGACAAATTCTACTAAGTGCACAGAAACATGGATTCATACATTTTTTTACCTACAAATGTGTTACATTTTTTCTCTTGCCGTTTTTGTGTAAAATTTACAGAATCTCTAGCATCCTGCTCTTCCAAGGTAATGTGTCTCCAAGGCTGTGTTTCTCTCTCTCCTGACTGTATTCATCTTTAAGTATTCTGCAGAGTACTGTGTTTATTATGTTTGGAACAACATTCATAAGTGGCTTGAGGTTATTGTAGACTTCACTAAAACACCCATAAGATAGAAATGAATAAAGCAGGAAATGTCTACAGACTGTCTTCCTCTGTATGATCCATACATGGTCATATTTGCATTATTAAACTAATATAAAGATCTGCACCTATTCTTCAGTAGCACCCACACTTTGTTGAAGTTTCTTGTTTATTCTCATTCCTCTCCTTCTTCTCTCCTACTTCCATGTCCTCGTCCTCGGTTGACCTTCCTCGGCTTCTTTGCTGTATTTCGCACAAACAGCACAACCAAGATGGCGCCTCATCTCGACGGGTAACATTCAGCGTCACTTTGGAACCTATATAAGGCATTACAATGGCCTTAAGAGCCCTTTAAAACGTGTGTTTCTTGATGCTGTTCTGTTATTGTGACATATCAATCAATCAATCAATCAATCAATCAATGTTTATTTATATAGCCCAATATCACGAATGTTACATGTGTCTCAGTGGACTTCACAGTTTGTACAGAATATCAGTATGACAATACGACACCCTCTGTCCTTAGACCCTCTGTCCTTAGACCCTCTGTCCTTAGACTCTCTGTCCTTAGACCCGCTGTCCTTAGACCCTCTGTCCTTAGACCCTCTGTCCTTAGACCCTCACATCGTACAAGGAAACACTTCCAGAGAAAACCCCACAGTTTAAAGGGGAACATGGGAGAAACCTCAGGGAGAGCATCAGAGGAGGGATCCCTCTCCCAGGACGGACAGACGTGCAATAGATGCCGTGTGTAAATCGAAAATATAATACATTTACAACATAGGGAGACCAAATGTTTGGAAACGCATGTGTCTATAATAAGAAGATGAATCCACGAGGATGTCAACAATCCTGTGGGAGCCATCAGGGAAGCAGTATGATGAGAGTCAGGCAGGACCACAGAATCCAGGACTCAGATCAGGACTCAGGACCAGCCACGACTCAGGATCCCAGCGTAGATAGACACCAAAAAGAAATTTGGGGGAAGCTGGGTTATTGGGAACATGAGAGTACACAGGTACAGACAGAGAGAAGGAAGAAGTGAGGTGTCCCCCCGACAGTCTAAGCCTATAGCAGCAAAACTAGGGGCTGAATCTAATCAGCCCTAACTATAAGCTTTATCAAAAAGGAAGGTCTTAAGCGCACTCTTAAAAACGGATAGGGATCAATGGATCAATATATGGATCAATCAAAGATGTTTTGGTGTGTAGAATAGTCTGGTTTTGTATGCTAACTTCATTAAATCACATAATAATCCAGCTGCTGTAACATGCGTTGACGTTGCGTTGCAGAGTCCACGTCGTCTTCGGCTCGATCATCTCTGGTTTTGAGGTGATAAAGAAGGTGGAGGGGCTGAAGACTGATTCTTCCAGCAGACCCTACGCTGACGTGAGAGTGATGGACTGCGGACAGCTCTTCACCAAGTCCGCTAACGACGGTGAGATCACTCAGATTTACTTGAAGCTTTTATGGTTGGCCACGACTGAGAGTGTGGGTGAATTTGAGTCTGTATATCAAGATCTAATTGGGAGATCCTAAATCAGACAGATAGCTTAAATAGATGTTATTAATAACTTTATCATTGATGCATACATGAGCTTAATACCACTTTGTTTGCTGTTGGGATTAAAGTGTGTTGCTTGTATCTGGGTCACACGTCGTTTTGTAAGAGGTTGGCATTTGGATGCTGGCATTTCCCCCCCCCCCACTGGCATTAGTTACAGGGACTGTAACCTGATCTCCTGTTTAATGAGGATCCGCGACGTGATCTCTGTGAAGTTCAGCTGGCATCGTCCCACCTGACTCTGCCAGCTTTCATTTTCCCCCGACATACCCCGCGAGCAATCAAACAAAGCCTCAGTTGTTGTAGCGCTAACACCACCCTGAAAGTGACTCCTGGCTTCTGACCTTTCTTTCTTTCTGTTTCCTCGCTCCAGTTCTCGAAGGAAAGAGGAAGAGAAGCTCCCACTCTGCCGACTCGTCCGTCTCTTCCCACGACTCGTCCTCTCAGTACTCCTCATCTGAAAATGAATCGGATGAAAAGCACAAACATCACAAGCACAAGAGACATGCAAAGAGTAAACGCTCCAAACGGAGAAGAAGGGAATCAAAGCAGAAGGAGAGCGTTGATGTTCTTCCCTCCAATCAAAGGTACTTTACAAATCACCAGAGGAGAAGCAACCCAGGGACACGGTTCACTGCTGGGTCGGTTCTTTGCATAACACATTACTGCTTTGCATGTGTGGTTGTAGCTCTCCCAGTCCTGTGGAGGAAGAGGTGCTGGAGGTGGAGGTAGAGGTGGAGGTGGAGCAGAGCGGGAGGAGAGAGAAGCTCACAGTGCGACCGGAGGAGATCCCCCCTGTGCCGGAGAACCGTTTCCTGCTGCGACGGGATGTGCCGCCTCAGGACGTGAAGGCGGAGATGTAGGTTTTATTGGATATATGTCATCTTATACATCTTAACAGTGACGACGTACATGTTAAGTGTCTGTGTTGACTTTGAAACTTGATATTCGCAGTGTGGAAACAGAAGAAACGTGTCCTTTAACTGACCCGAAACCATCAGTCTCAAAGTCTGGACGGAAGATTAAAGGCAGAGGAACAATGGTAAGCTCACATCTACATATTTTTTCTTTTACGAGTCTGCTTGTCATTTTAACCTGAACCACTAGTTCCAAGGTTCAGTTAGGGTTAGGGTTTGGTTACACAAACAAAAGCGCTACCATTGCTATAAATAATTGACCCACATCTACATCTGCCCTATTGTGCTTTTTGTAGTTTTTGTAGTCCTAAATCTTTAAGTTTTCACTTATTCGTATCAATGCAATAGGAAGTATCACACCAACAGAAATGTAGTAGTCGTTACCAATACCAGTAAAAAAACTAAGCAATGTAGGCCTGCTTTAACTTACACTTCTTTACAAGTACCACCACAGTGTTGGCATCGACTTGTCACCAAACTATGGGTTATTGTGACATCCCACCTATCCGTATATTTTCCTTTTTTGCAGAGATATCACACCCCGACGATGTCTAAGTCTCGCTCTGCGTCAGTGGAGGAACGTGGCAGCAGTGAGACTCCGCCACACTGGAAAGAGGAGATGAAGAGAACCAAAGTGTACCAACCTCCGAGCATCGAGAGGTGGAGCAAAGGAGACAAGTAGGACTCAACCTGTTTACCGTTTACTTCAAACATCAGATTTGTCTTTATTGTCCTTCATGCATCTCTTGACTTAACAGATTGAATGACCATTCCTCAAGCAGATGGGAGAACAAGAGTGACTCTGCGTGGTCCCGGTCCGCAGATCACTCCTCGGACCGCGGCTCGGAGAGATCGAGCCTGCAGCGCCAACCGAAGAAAGTGAAGAAGAAATCCAAACACAAGAAGAAGTCCAAGAAAGGGAAACACGGGAAGAAGAAGAGCTCAAAGAACAAACCTCCAGAGCCTCTCCCTACCGTGAGTGAAACGCCGGTGTCTTCAGAGAGGAAGTCCAAGAGATCCCGGTCGTCTTCAAACCAGCGGGACTCCTCAACTCAGAGGAAGCTACGGTCCTCGCTTTCATTTAGAGACTCAAGATCCTACTCTAGATCGTCCTACAGCCAGTCCAGATCCAGAGGAAGGTCTTACTCGAGATCCAGAAGCCTTTCGAGGTCTTTGTCTAGATCCAGATCTCGTTCCTATTCTCGATCCAGGTCAAGATCCAGGTACAGATCTTCGTCCAGGAAGAATAGTTTATCCCCGAGAAAGAGGAAAGGTAGTAAGCCCAAAGCGGCCGCCATGATGCCCGAGAAGCTTCCAGACAGCAAAGCCCCGCCTCTTCCCAGACTCCCAAGTGTCCCGGCTTCAGAAAGTACCCCCGTGATCCCGATGAGCGACAGCCCCCCGCCGTCACGCTGGAAACCCGGTCAGAAGCCCTGGAAGCCGTCTTACGTCCAGGAGGTTAAAGAAAAAGCAGCTCTCGGCTCTTCGTCTGGACCAACTGTAGCCAGCGTTACAGAAAAAGCTCAGACGGCCGTTACACCGAAGTGTCTGTTGGTTGACTCTGAAGTCCACAAACGCAGCAGGTCTTACAGTCGCTCCAGGAGCAGGAGTTACAGCAGGTCCTCCTCCTACAGCGGATCGGACTCTGAAACCTCCCAGAAAGCGCCAAGCAACAAAAGAAACTCACTGGACAAGGAATGGAAAGAGTATTACAGCTCCCTGAAGAGGGTCAAAAACGTAGATAAGTACATTTCACACGCAAGCAGTCAAGATGCCAAGTCAGGGTCGAATAGTCCGGATGTCTCAAAGAGATCACAGGATCAAGAAGGGAAGCAGTTCAGCTCAATGCCTGCTGAGAGCTTTAACAGTAGGTCTGAATGGGACAGTGACACTGAGAGAGGGGGCAACAGTGGGGCTCGGACAAAAAAGCAGAAACGAGCAGTTCAGTCCAGAGGAGTTCTCGATAAGAAGTCGTCCGCATGGAATTCGGAAAGTGATTCGGATCATGTGACCGCCAGGAATTTGGCTATATCTGAGAAAGAGGAAGGGGAAGCTAGTTCAGAATCAGAGTTTGAGACCTCCAGGAAAGCTTCTGAAGAAGTGTCTGCACCAAAGATCACCAAGGCTGCTGCTGCTAAAGGTCCCGAGGAGGTCGCAGAGAAACACAAGAGCAAGAAGAAATCCAAGCGTAAGCGAAAACACAAGCGGCGGCGCGAGAGCAGAAAGGAAAAAGGAAAGAGATCCAAGAGGAAACACCAGAAGCTCAAAGAGACTTTCCACTGGCAGCCTCCTCTGGAGTTCGGAGAGGAGGAGGACGAGGATGAGTCCAAACGAGAGAAACAAAGTCCTGGGAGAGTTCTCAAAGAAAAGCCTGTTGTGGAAAAAATAACCTCTAACCCTAAAGAGGAAAAGATTAGGGTCCAACAGAGAGCGAAGGAATGTATCAACAAGAACTCAAAACACACGGAGTCTCTTCTTCAGCCGTCCAACAGGAACGGAGCTGATGTACCCATCGTCAAACAGCAGGAGTCTTTGGACGATATGGACATCTGTACGCCAGAGCATGACGCTGAGATTGTACAACCAACAGATCTTTCTAATAATGCACCTGAATTCATCCTAAAACCTACCTCAACAATTTCAGATAACGCTTCACCTCAAAGCAAAGACCCTTCTGTGCCCTCCTCTGCTGGCCTGCAAGATGAAACCCCCGGAAAACCTCCCGTCATTAACTTCAAATGGAGGCCTTTGAAAGGAACGTCAGCCCCACAGAACGTCAACATGGCGCCCGTCAGCGTAGTGAACGTCCAGGAGGTCCAGAACGCCTCGGCGCTGGGAGTGAAGATGGAGATAAAGAGTCAGAGCCGGGTGCGACCGGGGTCTCTGTTCGACGAGGTCCGGAAGACCGCTCGGCTCAACCAGAGGCCGAGGAACGAGGAGAGCTCCAGCGAGGAGAGGTCTCCGTCCGCGGGGACAACGCGATCCCCCAAGAAGTCTCGCTCCAGAGGCTGGTCCCGGTCCTCCAGCCGGTCCAGGAGCCGGTCCCGGAGCTCCAGCTACTCCTCCAGGTACAACAAGGACTTAAAGGTCACCTATTATGCAAAATCCACTTTTTCATACACTTCTTTCATACATCAGCATGTGTCCCCTCTGTGGAAAGAGACTCTGAAAGTGTCAGTAACAAAGATTCTCTCTCTTTTTGTCCTGATCCATTTATATAAAAACCTGTCTGAAAATGAGCTGATCAGATTTTGGCCACTTTATGATCTCATAACGATGTTTTGTCTTGTGTAACCATTAGCCAATCACCAACCAAGGTAACCCCCCCCCCCCCTTATCACCTGAATCTCCTCCTAGAGCACCATTGAGTTCTTTTTAACCAAATCTCTCTCAGAGGGGCGTGGGGAGGGGCTCCTTATTTTTCATCTAAAGTAACAGACAGAGAATCAGCACTTTTGAAACAGGGCTGAAACAGAGGGGATTATGGGTAATGCTGCAATGATCTGTTTGGTGTTTCAGCCAATCAGAGACAGGTTCTGGATATATCTGAGACCTATAATATATTGATGAAAAACAGTATAATAGGAGACCTTTAAATGAATAACACCAGAGGGGCAAAATGGCTCTTTTAATCTAAGAGGTCGTTCACCCTTGGTCTAAAAGCAAAAACCTTTTGTACTAGAGTTCAAATGTAATTTATAACACACGTTTTTTCTTTCAGGAGCCGCAGCAGGAGTCGGAGGAGACGGAGAAGAGGGCGGTCGCGCTCTCGTAGCACCACATATCGAAGGAGTCACAGGTACCCAACCCTCTCTTCATATTTCTCCATTGTGCATCTTATTTGCGATCATTCCTTAAGACTCTTTTTGTGTCTTTTTCTCTTCCCTCTTTCAGTCGTACGTACAGTCGAAGTCGTTCCAGAAGTCGCTCGCGTCATCGCCGTCGGAGATCAAGGTATGTTAGCTTTTTAATGTGCTAACTCAAAAAAAAAAAATCATGTGGGGGGGGTCACTAAGTGATAAACATGCTCATGTATATAAGGTTTTAAATACAAGTTTGAAAAGATTGATCAGACTAGAAAATGAGTTAATATGATAGCATAGAAAGAATGAATGCTGAGTAATACACTTTCAGGATTATTCTGTCATTATTGAATATTATTTGACTATTATTGATTAACTACTCTTCAGAATCAGAAACAGGTTTATTACCAGGTAGGTTGACACGTACGAGGAATTTGACTTGATGTCGTGGTGCAACACAGATAGAGAACTAGAAAAATAGTAAAAAATATATAAAAAATATAGTAAAATATAATATAGTATTTACATAGAAATGGAATGGAATGGAATAAAATATGGAATACAAAATTAAAAATCACTTCTAGCAAAGTGATGATATGAAATGATATCTGTATGTTAACGCAGGTCAGACTCCTACGACAGCTATTCCAGTCGGAGTCGCAGTGCGAGCAGGAGGCGAGGGCGCCGGAGGAGTCGTAGCTCCAGGAGCTCAGAGCGCCGGTCCCGGTGAGAAGCTGCCGAAAGTCTCAGTTCAATCCTTCCTGTATCTGCATTTTAGATTATCACCATAACAAACTAAGCATTTAACAGCATCTCCTTCGTGTTCTTCCGCAGGTCGTCCCGCTCCTCCAGCCGCAGCTCGTCCAGCAGCCGCTACAGCTGAGAGGAAACAAAAAAACCACACAGTCTGGACACAAAAAAAACAATGACTGTAATCCCAGATCAGCAGATACAGCTCAGAGAGGAAGAGTTGTATTCCTTCTTGTTACATGTTTATAATGGGACAGTCTTTGAGGAAATGAATGTAAATAAGTAAACAGGCAGATCTTCTTATGAAGTGACTGTCAAAGCTGAGAATAAGCTATAAAAAATGTTTTTATGAGAAAAATGTCCATATTTTATACTGTATATTTTGTTTATTCCTTTTTAACTTGTTTTTCTTACACTGAAATGGATCATTATTATACTGTAAGTGTCTAATCCGCTCAGTTCTGACGTGTTTGAGGAGTTATAGGGTGAAGTTATGCCTTAAATTCAGATTTTAAAAAGTTATTGCTTTTTGTAGCAGTGTAAAGCTTTATTCAAGCTGTGATTTATGTTCATCTCATTCTTTATTATTGTATCATGAATGTTAAAATCTGTACTCAAAGTATAGTCTCTCTGATTTGCATTGTATTCAAACAGTTATGAATGTTTATGCTGAATAAATACCACAGCATCTTAAGTCTCTCTGTTTGTCCTCACCATGTACAGTAGATATAATGCAGAGGGGTCAGTTAATGGACTACCTTTACAATGGCGCCATCTACCTTTCAATTCAGAACTGCATTGTATTTTTATTTTCATCCTGGCCAATTTAAGTGCATCTGTCAAACATCACAAATGCACTGACCAAATTCTAACTGTACTCTTCTGACGATATAATCTTAGATATTGTGCAAAAAAGAAATGCAATCACAATTTTAATAACGCTTTATAGACATTTAGAAAAAGGGACTCTATTCAATTGCAAATCCTTAATTAAAAATACATTTGCAAATATGTGTGTACATTAAAAACTGATGGTGCTGAGCTCCTGTCTCTCTATACTGAAAAATATACCCCAAAAAGCAGAATAGGGCCCCTTTAATGTTTACATACCTCATGTCCATACTGAGGTCATAATTTGGCAATAGTAGACACACTGCAACAGGATTGGATTAATGTTTCCTTCACAAAAAAGCTCCTATAGTAACCCTTTTATTAACAGCAGGTGTTTTATGTTGCTCCAGATATGATTTGCAGGCTCCTTCCAGAAGGTGGAAGCTTTATTGAGCTCAGGTTTCATGAGGAAAAATCATTATCCTGCTGTCACTTTCTGCTCAAATTGATGGTTCTCTCCTCACACAATTTCTCTCTTTCATTTGTCTTTGTCGGAAATGTTGATATGAAATATATATAGTTTGTTTTTGCTGTTAGGAGAAGCCAAACTACACTATTACACATCCACATAATGTAGATCAAATGAAATACCTCTGTAAGACTTTGTTTTTTTAGTGGTCAGCCTCCCTGCTTCCACCCTGACGCTGAGGCTCAGAGTGATGAATGGGACCTGCTCCAGGTGCAGATCGATATTTTTCCCAGCTTGTTATGAGCGTATTGACTTCTGCTTCATACGGTCTGCTCAGGAGTGAGCGATGGGGTCCAGGGATCCTCCAGGGGGGGGGGGGACAAGGCTGCATTACTAACTGGGCAAAGTGGGAAACTGCCCCGGGCCCTCAGAAGATATAGGCCCCAAAATGTGTTAAGAAATGTAACATCAAACTTTTTTTTACACCTGATTGTTCAAGCACATTTGCACAGATGCTATATATCATGGTAAACAGAGTATTATTAAAGGGGCCCTATGTTTTGGGGGGTTTTGCCTTCACTGTAGTATATAGGTTTCTGTGCATGTAAATGGTCTGCAAAGGCTAAAATCCCATCACTATTGGCTATTGTAGTGGAAAACTTTATAACAGTGTATACTTATAAACTTTATATGTAATGGCAAACTCTATATGTAGTGTAAACTTTATATGATGTGCAAACTAACTTTATGTGTTACCTAATATGGTAAAATGCTATGCAGTTGTCCCATGAGGAGGTATTTTAATCCATGCCCTCTGTTCAACATATAACTAGCCTTAAGGATGTCTGGGGGTGAGACAGGGTCGTAAGCAAAAGTGAAGAAGTGTCTCAAACAAGTTCCTGTGTTTGTTCCTTGTCTTACAAGGAGTTCCTACTTTCTTGGTTATATCTGTTTTGACCTCTCTATGACTTCCTGCTGTCCTCACTTGCACCTGGCATATAACCCACAATGTGTTAAACTTTCAACACTTCCATCTGTCTTAAACCAGTTCCTGTTTTAGCTAAGTTCCTGATTTACTACATTGCCAATGTATGGTTTATGTTCCTCTGGAATGCGGGGCTTAGCTTATCTGCCCATCCAGCCCTCCCAGAGGGACAGGTCACGAGTTGTTGTTGAACTGTGAACTGTCAAAGATCCTATAAAGACTATACGCACTCCTCTCTCAGGGCGCACTCTTCCAGAGTACTCTGTACTCCGTAAGACCTGTGCCTTATTTGAAGCTTCAAATAAAGATCCAGAAAGACAACTCTGTTTCCACCATTTTATTGATTGATCATTCTGATTGTATATCTCCTGAGTATTGACTAGGTCTAAGATTTCCAAAACACTATCGCTCCAACATATTGTAGGCCAAGGGGCTGGACATATCTAAGCAGTTGACCAATCACAACAGAGCAGGCCAGCTAAACATTTGAAGACTTAATTTTGGTCTCTTAAAATGTGATGGATATTGATAAAATAATGGAAAAATTGCCCTTGTTGCATTTAGGTTGTAGTGATGTGGTTTATAATTATTTACACACCATCAAAACACACAATTATTACTATTATAAACATTCAAGAAATGATAGGCGCCTTAGGAGACACACTCATTGTTATGTTGTTGTTATTTTCAGTTTAGATTATATATTTTTTAAAGAAAATTGCTAAATCAAATCACCAAAGACCCTAATATAGTCTCAATAATTGAAATGTTCTCACATGTTGGTTATATTTAACTGTGCAAATTGTGATATTAAGACATTATATTATGCTTATGTCACAACACATGTATATATATATTGTACTATGACTTTTGCACTTTGACAAAATGCATGAACTTCCGGGCCTCCGCATCTGTCTGGCCCCGTGACGTCACACAGTTGCAGGAGCGCACTGACAGGAAGCGCACCCAGGTTTTTGCGCCATATGGAGCTGCATGTCCTTCCCAATTTCCCTGCTTACGCCAGCAAATAAATAAATAAATAAAGTAGAGTATCCTACAAAGAGAAATGCGCCTCTCTGCTAAACTCCACGTGAAACAGTGCGGTGTCCCTTTAACAGCGTCTGACAAAAAGCCCATATGATCCCCGAGCTCCAATCACCAATTCCTCCTGCAAAAGCAGCCTCTGCATTTTTGTCTGTCTGAATGCTACAGCAGCACGGGGGGAAACAGGATTGAGGATAAGAGCAAAAACTGAAGAAATGTGACAATTGCACGGTCCTTTTCATGGCGGAGGGGAAACTGCTGCGGAAGGAGTTATTCTGGGACTCCTTTGAGCCTCGAAACGCTGGATCAAAATGGTAGGCTTCACAGGAGAGCGCTGCATTTTTGTTTATTTTTCTGTGTCCCGCTTTGATCTCTTGCACATTTCAGCTACTTAGCAGGCCGATGAAAACTTGCCACACTTTGTGCCTCCTTGTGTGTTTGCAGCAGACACACCGTGTATCTCTGTGTAAAGTTTGTAACTTGCAGACATGGCACAAGTTGGAAATTGAAGCTGCTTGGAAGAATGCAATGGCTACAATAGCCACATTGATGCAGAGAAGGAGTTAAATTCTTTCATATCAGGGCGCTCCTGCACACAAAAAAAGGGCTCAGGTCGTGACTGGTGCAAATGTAGACAGGATGAGAGAAAGTCCTTTAGAGCAGGACAAGTTTGACATGCATGCATACATTACAGATCCATCTAATGGAGGAGGAGATGTCACTCTTCATGTCGTAATAACTTCATTTGTTGCAGGTGACCCTCAGGTAGAGGTGCTATCAGCTTGTTTGAAGTGTCCTAGTACAATGAAATGCAGATTCCACAGTCTGATAGTCAAAGCAGAACTGTTTTACTGGATTAATCAGAATCAGGAATGCCAACATTTGTCCAACATCAGGGAAAAGTACAGTATTACAACATCAAGAGTGGAGAGTGTACATATTATACAAACAAAGTATGCACACTTTATTCATAAAAAAACAACACAATAAGTAAAAACCGATAAGTACACCATGGTAAAATAGTGGCAAAATATCTTTAAAAAAGTGACCATGTAAAAATATTGAAGTAGGTGGTAACGTTTACAGATTTAAAGAAAAATACAGTGTATATTGCACAAAGTTTGATATTATTCACGAGCAGTTTTATGCACAAAAGGGATATGTTTGCATCCTCTTGTACAGAGCATTTCCCCCATGTTTTTATTCCCCTTCCTTACATGATACGAAGATAGCCGAGCACAGACAGACTTATGGGAACGGAGAGGCAGACAGTGCGCTCTGTCTCCAGGGTCATATTAGGATGCCTCATTAGGAAAGCATGTGGAGCCTGATGCAGTGGTGGAGTAATCCCAGTGCGCGTTCACATCTGGAGGCTTGGGTTAATATCTGGGTCAGGGTCAGCGGGGTCAGATCTGGTGCTAGCTGGGTGGCTTCTGGTGCTGCAAAGAGAGAGAAAGAGAGAGGTTTTTTTAGTCTATTGGAGAGTAATCTGCAAAGTGTAATGTGCCGGTGATCTGAGATACTGTATCTTTTGAGTGTTTGTGCCCCTGATAATTTCTGTTTGTTGACATGAAAAGCTGATTAGTGTGTGCTAATTTTGTTTTTATCATTAGCCTCACATAACCTCCCTTATTTATGGATGGATTACTGAACAAGCAAAGGGGTTTAGGGGCCCCAAGCCTGGACCAGAGCCTCTGTATAAAGAGACTGTTCACATTTACTGTAGGAAAGTGAATAAAAAACACTAAGAGACACAAAAACTTCCAGGTAGAGACACTAAACAAGTTAAAATAGACGCAAATGTCAAAAACATTACAGTGCATGACTAGTTTGAAAATGACTAAAAAGAGACATGAAATAGCTGTGGTCTAGATTGCCTTTAACATGCTAAAAGATCCATTGAATCATAATCCGCCTACCCTTTATTCGAATGATTGTGTTTCTCCAAATACGATGGATTTGCACAAATATAAACCAGTTTCTCTGCCAACTTTTAAATGTTTGAAGCGCTTTTTTCTGTGGGCCACCTGACTGAGTTTAATCTCAGCGTTGTCAGGTCCTGAGTAGCTCCTTCTCTCTCCTCGCAGGGTGCTGTGAGTTTTACGTAACTGCCTATTCAGAGCATTCCTGCCCACCCTTGACTTCGAGGCGTCACTGTCTCTGGGTGCTGAGCGAGGAAACGGTCTTTAGTCCTTGTGACAAGTGCAGCCATTCCCGAGCCCTGGCAACAAACTCCAGCTCTCCGTGGAAACTCGGAGCATACTGTAGGTGCTGCTTATTTATGCCCCTGAGATTAAGAACAGTGGACAAGGCTGCAGAGAGCAAGGTCAAACTCACATGGCTTATGTAAGGTGGCTTTTGTTCT